TCCCAACTCACCCTGCACTCGCCGCACTATCTCCCCCCTCCTCCCTTCTTCCCGTTCGCTTCACTATACCCCCTCCCCGTCGGTCGTCTCGTTACACCCCCTCCCTCTCGAAGGCTCCTGGGAGGGGAGGAGGGAGGGGCGACAGGGATTATCGAGCAGACTTTTGTACACTAAAACAACTGCTACTTAATCCCTGGAAGGAGGGGAGGGCAAAAGATCCCCCGTCGACGTTGTTAGGTCTGTTCTTGAAGTTTACTCTTACAGAGTTTGTCGTATGTGAAGACGAGTTCAAATATGCGCTTCTTGCCAATAATTGCATTTGTCCTGGAATTTCGACGTACATTACACTTCTCATGCATACTTCTCGCGGCGAGTGAGCTGATTTTTTGTTGTTATCGATTTCTCGTGCGTTGTAATTCCGAAAACTAGCAAAAGAATACGCTAAAAGCTAGAGCATGCACACGATTGTTGCAGGGAGGGGCAGAAATCAGTTGAGCCGTGGCATAAAGTTTATGGATTTCACTCAGGTAACGAAATTTATGATATTCAAATTGCGGACAGTAAATTTTTCGGCGAGTATATTGGAAAATCATTTATCTATGCTTCGTTTCACGCTCACAAAAAGTTAGTGGTACTATTCTTTCCTTCTGCTCTGCCTTCCGATAAGTTTTTGTTTTGTAGTACTGTTATCCCTTTTCGCCTGCATGAAGAAGCGATTAGTGAAGTAATGCAGCTATGGGTAACTAAGTTTATTTGCTTCTTAGCTACAAGTCAAACCCTGGAGATGAACATTTGTTACAAATTTTGAACGCTTTGTCATCGCTGATTCATTACCCGTTCTGCCAATTCCTAGGCCTATTAATTTGCAGGTATGGAGTTGGTTTGATTGGAATAAAGTCTCAAGGACTACGGGAAAAAATTCTTCTAAATCCGGGCCATTACTATTATCTGAAGCCAACGGACACTGCATATTATATAGCTCTTACAAATGAAGAGTCGTTGTACGATTTTCATAAAGGGATGAATGCGCAACGTCGAAAAGCCAATTTGGCGACAGCAATCGCTAATATAGGTCGGTTCTAACTTGTTGGCTTTTGTAACCACTGCGTTTAACAGTGCTACAGTTGAGAACGTCTTGGCCATCGGGTAGGTGCTGCACATAATGGGGCTGCAGCTACAGCTGTTTCTGTTCGAAGATTTTAAAATTCAATCTGAATGCGCAACGCATGTTCCGATTCTGAACGCAGCTTTTATTTTGATGTAAGTCGGGGAAGAAATGCAGCACACAGAACGCTGCAGGAAATGCACAGAAACTTCTTATAGCTAATTTCTTACCTGTGATTGGATTTCTTCGTGTGCTTTCCAGGGGCTAGGAGCATGAGTAAATGGAGTCTTCTTTTCGCGCCATTACGGTCAAAAGGGCCGAATAGAATGCATTCAGAGTTTTACTTGTTTCGACAGTTGAAAATTGGACAAAATCAGGGTTGAGGGAAGAGAACGAACTTATAGAACGTGTACTTTCTTCCTACTGCACAGTAGAATTTTCTGGACAATTACTGAAACTCGGCTGGGCCAGCGTCATTCACGATCTGCGAACAATTTTTTCAGGTTAGCTTGCGCCACAGTTGCGAGTGCGCTGCTGCTGCGGATGGTGTAGTGGTGAAGGGGAGGGGGGACCTGTGCGGGATTCCGAGCTCGGGGACTGGAGGTAGAGGAAGGGGATTGATATGTTGGATTGAGTGATTACGTGACGTAGCCACGCTGGGGAGAGGGGCGAGGGGTAATGGGCGGGAAAGGGAAGGATCGTAATGCTGGATTTTGTCGTGGATACGCGGAGGTACCGAAGGAGCTCGGGAAGAGGTATACTGCAGAGAGCACAAGGGGAGGGGAGGGGAGGGGGAAGGTTGGCAATGCGTAGCATATTTTTTGCCTGCGAATTTGAGACACAGGGAGGGGGTTAGGGTGGGTGTTAGAGGGTGGTGTGTGCGAATTTCGCGCATGGGAAGTTGAGGCAAGGGGAGGGGATTGGGTGGGTGGATAGAGTGGATACGTGGCGTAGAACCCTTGACAGTTGCCTAGGCCACTTAAGAGAGAGGAAGAGAGTAAAGGGTGGAAAGGAGGGAAACAAGAAAAAGTAAAGGCAAGAAAGAAAGTAAAAACATGAAGAGAAAAGCGAAGCCGCCATCAGTAGGGGACTTCCCTATCTATAAAGCTGATGCTTAGGTAAAGCTGAAAGCGAATAAGGTGAAGCTGTGAAGGTAAACTTGAAAGCTCTCAACTTTACCTAAGTACCAGATTCTTGAATACGAAACTGAAGACAAAATTTCAGCTAACGAAAAACCATTATCAGCAAAGGGCCTCCTCATTTATGAAGCCGATGCTTAGGTATAGCTAAAGAGTTGAATAGCTCATGCCTAGATGAAGCAGAGAGCTTTCAGCTTTACCTACGCATCAGCTTTATAAACAGCTTCATAAACAAGCTTGTTCCCCTCCTTTTTCCTGTCCCCAAATCCTGCCTTCAGAGCGGCATCTGGACACCCATTACCCATTACCCCCAACCACTATCACCACTAATCGTTTCGCACTCTTCACTAGCCCCTTGTTCCCCACCTCTACATTGCCGTCATCCGTCTGGGTACTCACCCACCTCTAGGAGCTGCATCTGGGTACTCACTCTCCTCTGCCCCCTTCCACGCTAACCCTCACCAAGCACCCCTAGTATGGTGCTAGTCGGAGTCGGCTAGCCCTGCCACGAAATAGTGTTAGCGAAAAAGTTAGAATAACCCGAGCCGAGTCGAATTTTAGCAATTGTCGGTTTTCCGACAATTAGTAAAACTCGATTTGGCTGGATTAGACCGGATTGGAAGACGGTGGAATGACTAAGAGGTAGTGGTAAAAAGGTACAGGAGGGAGAAGAGTGAGGAGACGGGGGTCGAGGTGGTGGTTTGGGTCTTGGGAGAGAGAGAGGAAAGGCGGGTTATTAACTGAAACGACTTTGGACCGAAACATTTCTTACCATTAAAAAAATTTTTTTAACATTTTATTAGTTCTTCTTTTAAATAAAAATATTTTATTTTTCTTATTATTGTCTAGTTGAATTGAGAAACCGGAAACAGAAGCGGAAATTTTCGGGAAATGACTATGTGTTTTTATGCTCAGCACGAAACTTGATGCTGAAGAGCAGTTAGCCGCTCAATATGCACTCTCGTCCTCCGGTTCGAGTTTAATAACGAAAATCGTAATACTGGTTTCTTGTCTGAGTGTCGCTTTCAAGACTGCTAACTTCTCCGCATTAGGTTTCATGCTGAGCATAAAAAATCCATGGAGATATCTCTATGTATTTTTTTATGCTTCATAAATCCCACCCTTACTTCCAGTTTCTACCTTCAGTTCTTTCAGCTTCTTCCCTGTTAACAGTCTCATCCCTCTTCTCCGTAAAAATACGCAAAGACTTTATTTTCTCCATGGTGATCTTTTGTTGTATTGTTAAAAGTTAGAATCATGGTTTGCTTTCTTTTGGGCATGTAAGCAGATGCAACCGCGTTGTAGATAGCCGATTTCAGGTTAGCTCAGTTCGCAGAGTATTAAAAACTTCGAGCTCGGAATTTTGAATTTGCGACTTCCATTGCTTTCATGGTTCCGCGTTGCCATCTGCAGATGAGAACGACTAATTCTTGTTTTTCTGTGATGCACAAAAATTCTCAGCGAGCTTTAGCCGCTCAGTGCATTGATGTGTCAATGTCAGCACATTGCACACCTTTTCACATGTGGTAAAATCAACTGCTGTCTTTTTAACACAATAAGTGACAGTATCGGAATTTTGCAAAAAAAAAAAAAATTGATTCAGGCGCGGTGGCAATAGAGCTACCACAGGCTGACAACGAACATTCAAAATTGAAGAAAAAAAGGCGATTTCTGCATTTGAAGCGAGGCGAATCTGACGGAGCCACACAACTTCTGGTTTGCACATCCTTCAGTCATATCATTTTCATTTTCAAGAAGCATATTTCTCCTCATTCCCACTACAGTAACAGCTAGACCGGAGAAGAGATGAGAGCAAGGACGCACACAAGGGGAGTAGGAAGGGAGGAAAGAAGCGCGGGTCCGTCATTTCGGGGGACATGTGGTAAATTTCTGCCCACCTCTTCAAACTTTCTGTGTTGAAGGCAATGAGGAGCGAGGAGGAGGGCGCTGGAGCGAATAGTGCTTGGCGTATCTTTCAACTGTCATATGAACAAACAGACTGGTCGTAGATTAGCGGAATTCGAAATATCATTGCGTTCTCGCAACAGAATAAAATCCGCCGGACAGGGCATGTCGCTTGCCTTGCCGACAACCGGTGGAAAATGCGCTTTAATGGGCAACTACTAAAACTCGGCACGGCTCGGCTCGGCTAGCCCTCGGCTGCCTCGGCCGGCCCCGGCTACCTCGGCCGCACCTCGGCCACACCTCGGCCGCACCTCGGCCACACCTCGGCCGCACCTCGGCCACACCTCGGCCGCACCTCGGCCGCACCTCGGCCACACCTCGGCCGCACCTCGGCCACACCTCGGCCGCACCTCGGCCA